TAGGGTATATATATATACATATATATAATATATATATATATATATATATATATATATATATATATATATATCGGAGTAGGCCGGGAGGGGTGCCCAAACCGGTGCCATCATCCCCCATGGGCGCCCCCCCGAACCTTTGGGGGGTCACAGACCCCCCGGGACTACCCCAGGCCGCTTCCAAATTGCCCACTACAGGCCACGCGGGCCGTACAGATGGTCAAGAAAGCGTCAAGAGGCCCCGAAGACGCCCAAGAGCGCCCCAAGAGGGCCCGAGATGGCTTGAAGATGGCCGACGAGGGCCCCAAGAGGGCCTTCAAGAGGCAAAAGTCGGCCCATTCTCCTTAGTAAAACGTGCATTTTCAGCATACTCGCTGGCTTCGTCTTCAGAGTGCCCCAGACGCCCCCGCGGAGCCCCAACACAGCCCAAGAGAGATACAAGAGGGCCCCAGACGGCAAAAAAGGGTCGGCCTGTGGGGCTCACGGAGCCCCCCGAGACGGCCCAATAAGCCCCAAAGCCAGCCCAGCAGGCCCCCAAGACGGCCTCGGGGAGGCCCAAGAGGGCCTCGTTCAACATCATGTTCCCGGAAGCCTCTCCGGGATCATGATTTCCGGGCTCCCAGGACGCCCAAGACGCCCACAAGACAACCTCAGCGAGGCCCAAGAGGGCCCGAGATGGCTTGAAGATGGCCGAAGAGGGCCCCGAGAGGGCCTTCAAGAGTCAAAAATCTGCCCATTCCCGTTCGTAAAACGTACATTTTCAGCATACTCGCTTGCTTCGTCTTCAGAGTGCCCCAGACGCCCCGGAGGAGCCCCAACACAGCCCAAGAGAGACCCAAGAGGGCCCAAGACGGCCCCCAAAAATCGTCCTGTGGGGCTCTCGGAACCCCCCAGGACGGCCCAAGAGGCCCCGAAACCGGCCCAGGAGGCCCCCAAGACGGCCTCAGGGAGGCTCAAAAGGGCTTCGTTCGACATCATGTTCCCGGAAGCTTCTCCGGGATCATGACTTCCGGGCTCCCAGGACGCCCAAGAGGCCCACAAGACAGCCTCAGCGAGGCCCCCGAGGGCGCGAGATGGCTTGAAGATGGCCGAAGAATGCCCCAAGAGGGCCTTCAAGATACGCAAATCGGCCCATTCCCATAGTAAAACGTCCTTTTTTAGCATATTCGCTGGCTTCGTCTTCAGAGTGCCCCAGACGCTCCCGAGGAGCCCCAACACAACCCAAGAGAGACCCAAGAGGGCCCAAGACGGCCCAAAAAGATCGTCCCGTGGGGCTCACGGAACCCCCCAAGACGGCCCAAGAGGCCCCGAAGCCGGCCGGCCCAGGAGGCCCCCAAGACGGCCTCAGGGAGGCCAAGAGGGCCTCGTTCGAAATCATGTTCATGGAAGCCTCTCCGGGAACATGATTTCCGGGCTCCCAGGACGCCCAAGAAGCCCACAAGACAGCCTCAGCAAGGCCCAGGAGGGCCCGAGATGGCTTCAAGATGGCCGAAGAGAGCCCCGAGTGGGCCTTCAAGATGCAAAAATCAGCCCGTTCCCGTAGTAAAACGTACATTTTCAGGATACTCTCTTGCTTCGTCTTCGCAGTGCCCCAGACGCCCCCGAGGAGCCCCAGGACAGCCCAAGAGAGACCCAAGAGGGCCCAAGACGGCCGAAAAGGGTCGTCCTATGGGGCTGACGGGACCCCCCAAGACGGCCCAAGAGACCCGAAAGCCAGCCCAGGAGGCCCCAAGACGGCCTCAGGGAGGCCCAAGAGAGCTTCGTTCGAAATCATGTTTCCAGAAGCCTCTCCAGGAACATGATTTCCGGTTTCCCAGGACGCCCACAGACAGCCCCCAGAGGCCCCAGACACGCCGAAGATGGCCTCAGGACGGCCGACGACGCTGCCAAAACGCCCCAAGAGCGCCTCCAGAGGCCCCTCCACAGGGCCCCAGAAGCCGATAGTCATACATTTTCCAACGATTTTTGAAGCATCCTTGCGCTCTCCCATGTTCCACCTCCCCACGTTCCCGGACCGCGTCAGAGGCCCTTCAGATCGCTCCAAGACGGCCGAAGAGGCTCCCAAGAAGGTCCCGAGGCGGCCCAGGAGGCTCCCCAGATAAGTCAAGAGGGCCTCGAGAGCGCCCCAAGAGAGCCCCAAGAGCGACCCAAGAGGGCCCGAGGAGCGCGACATTTCGAGATCTCCGGCCTGAGGGGCTCCTAGGACGCCCCCGGAGGCCATCAAGAGGCTCCCAAGAAGCCCCGTAAGGCTCACAAGAGGATCCCAGAAGCCCCAATAGGCCCCCAAGGGACCCGCAGGGAAGCCCCCTGCGGGCCCCCAAGACACTTCGGCAAAATCGTATTTCTCAGATAGCTTTCCGGGAGCATGATTCTCTATCTCGGAGTAGGTGGTCCAGAGCTTCCGAGGCGGCCCGAGCCCGCCCCGAAGCAGGCCACGACAGGCTAATGGAGGTCCCGAGAGGGCCCTAGACGGTCCCAAGAGGCCCCGAAGACGCCCAAGCTGCCCTCAAGACGGCCGACGAGGACTCCAACACGCTCCAGGGCGGACTCAAGAGGGTCCCCAAGAGGGCCCTGGGAGGCAAGATTCACTCGTTTTCCGAGTGTTTTGGATTTTGGCGTTCTCGCTTTTCCCGCTTTCCAGCGTTCCGTCACGGCCTCGGAGGCCTTTCAGATCGCTCCAAGAAGGCCCACGAGGCCCCGACGAGAGCCCCAAGACGCTCCCCAGACAACCCAAGTGTGCCCCAAGAGCGCGCCAAGAGAAGGCGCCTTGGGGTCCCGAGGCGGCCCGGGCTCGCCCCGAAGCAGGCCACGACAGGCTAATGGAGGTCCCGAGAGGGCCCTAGACGGTCCCAAGAGGCCCCGAAGACGCCCAAGCTGCCCTCAAGACGGCCGACGAGGACTCCAACACGCTCCAGGACGGACTCAAGAGGGTCCCCAAGACGGCCCAGGAGGCTCCCCAGACAACCCAATTGTGCCCCAAGAGCTCCCCAAGACAGGGCCCAGAGGGGGACCGCCAACCGATATTTCGAGGTCTCTGGCCCTAGAGGCCGCCTGTAGGCCCCCGAAGGCCACCAAGAGGCTCCCACGAAGCCCCGTGAGGTGCCCAAGAGGCCCCCAGGAAGCCCCAAGAGACCCCCAAGGGGTTCCCAGGGAACGCCCAAGAGGCCCCCCAACACACCCCAAGAAATCATGTCCTCAGAAACCCTTCCGGGCACATGGTTCATCATGGGCCCGAGAGTTCCCGGAGGCCCGCAAGGGGCCCCCAGGGAACGCCCAAGAGACCCCCCAACACACCCCAACAAACCATGTCCCCAGAAAGCCTTCCGGGGACATGGTTCATCATGGGCCCGCGAGTCTCCGGAACGACGACGACGACGACGACGACGACGACGACGACGACGACGACGACGACGACGACGACGACGACGACGACGACGACGACGACGGCGCGCCACCCCAACAGGCTCCCCAAGACGCCCCAAACCCATGCTCCCAGAAGGCTTTCTGGGAGCTCGATTCATACGGCCTCACCCCCCCTACACAACCATTTTCCTCGACGGCCTTTCGGAATGCAGATTGGCATGCGTGGACTGTGGTCCACTACTTCAGTGGAGCAGTGAATTCGTTCAGGCCCGGGGCCTGCTAGAACCTGAGCGAACGAAGCGCGCGCGATGGTTCTAGTGTGTATATATATATATACATATGATTTGCATACGTGTATGTAGGTGTGTCTGCATGTATGCATGTATGTGTGTCTGCATGTCTGCATGTATAGGGGTGCCATGTCATACAGCGTAGTGCAGTGCAGCGCAATGCAATGCAATAGATCGCAGGGTGCTGCAATACGATGTACTGCAACGTAAAACAACGTAATGCAATGTGATGACATGCAATGCAGTGCAATAGACTGGAACGTACGCATGCATGTGATGTTAATAAATGTATGCATGTAGTTATGTACGTGTGTAGGTATGTATGTATGCATGCTTGTATGCATGTATATATATATATATATGTATATATATGTATGTATATGTTGGTATGTGTGTATGTGCCTAGGTGTATGTGTGCATGGATGTGTATGCGTATACATATATATATACACATACTTGTAGCCACGTATGCATGCATGCATGGACACAAACGTTTTTATATCTCTATATATATACATATGTATGTGTATGTATTTGTGCTTCTACGCATGTATGCATGCATGCATGTACAGATGTACGTATGCATGTACGTATGTATGTATGCCTGTGTATATGTACATCTGCCTGCCCGCAGTCATGCAGACATGCATGCAGGCACGCATGTGCACACATGTATGTGCATGTATGAGTGTATGTATGAGTGTATGTATGCATGTGCGTGTAAATTCTGTGTATGCGTACGCATGCAATCATACATACATATGTATGTATGCATGTATGTGTATGTATATGTGGGCGTGTCTATACGTATGTATGTATGGTTGTGTATGTGTGTGTGTGTCTTTATGTGTGTGTACCGTTGGCTGTACGAAAGTAAGTATATGTGCATGTGTGTATGTATGTATGTATGTATGCATTTATGTATGCATGTATGTATGAATGTGTGCGTGTACGTATGTCTGTGTGTATGCATGCATGCAGGTATGCTTGTGTGTATGTATGTATGGGTGTACGTGTGTATATGTGTGCATGTATGTATGTATGCATGTATGCATGTTTGTATGTATGTACATGCACTTATCGTTTTACATCGGCACATATAGGTGTCCACGTGTAAGCATGGGCATGCATGTAAAAGAGTTGCATACATGTCTATTCATATATATATATGGGTCCTGCCGTATCCCCGCCCCCTGACAAACTGAGCAGAGGGGGCCGATTGTCCAGGGTCCTCTTCCTCCTCGTCCTCCTCTTGGGGGTGCGTGCGCGTGAAGGAGGGGCGCTGGTCCGCGGCGTCCGATCCGCAACCAATGCGGTTCAAGCCTCTTTCTCGCCTGAAGTCGGGCGCTCATGCCCCGCCCCTGCGCCCTCGCCTTCCTCGCCGCTCCATATCTGGCTGGATTGTGGCGGCTCGTGGCGGACCAGCCTGGGATCGCGCTGGAAAGCGCGCTGCGGCTGAGCGAGTTCGTGCTTCACTCGGCGACGGCTGCGCGGCAGGACGTCGGCCGCGTGGGGGTGGAGGACCTTGGCGTGAACGTCTCGGTGGTGGAGTGTTCGTGTACCCCTTGCCCGGCACCCTGGAGGTGCGAAGAAGACGCTGGGCCAGCCTGGGTGCAGGCGTGCGAGCCGGTGATCGAGCACGTCTTGGAGTCGGAGTGCGAGGTGGTGCCAGTTTTCAACTTCGTGAAGACCATCGTCGGGGCGACGACCAGCTTCATCGGTGGACTTCTCGCGGCGTGCGGGTGTCGACCCCAACCGTGGGAATATGGCGGTCGTCGTGCCCACTACGCCCTTGCCCGGGCACACGTTCGTGGTGTTCTTCGAGGGTGATGCCTGAGGACATGAGCGCGTGCTGGTGTGGCCGCTCTCGACTTCGGTGTGGATGATCTACACCGCCCAGGGGCACTTCTACGTGGAAGACACCTCCCTGTATGAGAAGGTGGTGGCCCTCAAGGGCTTCGGGGATCGCCCGCCCGGGCTGGAGTCGGTCGACATCGTGCAGTTCGACCGGCCAGTCCAGCGACAGGAGTTCCTCGACCTGCTGGCCGCGGCCCAGTTGCATGCGGGCGCCCTTCGAGGCGCGCTCGGGCTGCCAGACTGGCCGGCACCGACGCAGTGGGTCTCCACCGACGGAACGCTGGAGCCGATGCCCAGACGGCGGCCCCTCCCAAGGCGCCGACCGCCATCCTTGCCGCTGACCGCGGCGGCGCGTGCCCGCCCCGGGCCCCGAGGCGATCGACGAGGTGATGTTTTCGCAGGTGCTCTCGATAGGCTCGAGGGCGACGACGGGCCTCCCGCAGTGACCTGGCGGGTCTCCGAGCCCGGCCTGGCCTTCGGCAACATCGGCAGCGAGGTGGAGCCGAGGCTGTTAGTCTTCGGCGGGCGGCTTTTCGGCGCGGCCATCTCGGACGCAGGGCTCGAGGCGCCGGCGATGGCCGTGAGCCTGGAAGTCTCGGAGGAGGACTTCAAGACTCAGCGGCTGGTGCAGTTCTCGCCGCCCACGCCGCGCGGCGCACCGGAGCCGCCCGCCATCGCGCTCGACGACGACCCTGTCGGCGCTTTCAGGCGGGAGGCAGGTGGCCGCGAGATCGAAGACGCAGGAGAAGGCAGCCCCCTACTCGAGCGCGTGCTCGGGGAGCGGCCGCCCGGCGCAGCAGCGCCGGCGGCCGCTGGCGAGGTCGCGGTGGACGTCCGCGTGCTGGAGGTCGACTGGGGCTCGCAGGGGGAGCGGCACAAGGACTGGAAGGAGGTGTGTAGGGAGTCAAGCTCGCACTCCTTCCGCGACTGGCCGCTTCCGAGCACCACCCTCGGCGTGATGAAGCACATCGACCGCTTCGGGCCGATGCCGACCAGTTGGCTGGAGGCATGGGGGAGGAGAGAGCACGTCGCGCCCTCGGACCGCGCCTGCCACGAGCTGCGAGTGCCGGCCGAGAGCTTCGAGCAGTTCGGCTGCTACGACCAGCTGAACATGCCCTGCCTAGCAGGGATCGAGGTGCTGATGAGGCGTTTCCAGACACTCCTGGAGGCCCACTCGGTGCCGGGCGCCAAGCCGAACTACAGCATGGCCGGCGTGTACTCAGGCACCGCGATGCTGGAGGGCGCGGCGGCTCCGGACCTGCGCGTCTACGGCGCGAGGAAGCTCAAGGATAAGGCTCTGGAGGGCGGCGTGCAGCGCGGCGGCTTGCACGCGCCGCAGGCGGAGGGCTACGACGAGGAGGGCCCAGGCGCGGCCGGCGCGGCTCCGGGCGCAGGTGGTAACAAAGGCGGCGGGGGCCGAGGGGCAGGAGGCAAGACCAAGAAAGGCAAGCCCGGGCTCCCAGCGCCCCCGCCAGCATCATGATGGAGGCGAGCGGCGGGGGAAGTGGGCCAGCCCCCGTCGCCTTCACCAGGTCCTGCATGGGAGTGCATCGCCGCCTGCCCTCCTACGACACCCCGTCGCGGGTTGGTGCTCCCTCGCGTCGGTCCAGACGTCGTCATGGACTGGGCGTGGAGGAGTTCAGGCGCAAGAACGAGACCGTGGATGCGCTCCACTGGTGCCTGGGTGCGCGGACTTCAGGGCCGCCAGGCGCCAATGAATTTGATGAGGAGGCCGTGGCGACTCTCGCCCCTGTGATCGCGAAGCCGGTGACAGCGCCTTCCCAGGAAGAAGCCGCTCGCGTGCTTCTCCGAGGTCATCTCAGCTACGATGCCGAGGAGACCTACACTACCGTCGTGCCCTACGAGTTTGGTTCCGTCTCGCTCCCCGAGCACGTCCACGATGCAGCAGTCGTGACGGAGGTGCTGGACGCTGAGGACCGCCTGATCATCGAGGGTTGGCAGAAGAGCATGATGCGGTCTACCGATGAGTTTAACAAGCTCAACGAGAGGCTGGGTGATATCAAACCGTTCTGGGACAAGAAGCTGTCGCGGAACCAGAAGACCTACCGGCTGTTCATTTTGGACCTCGAGCGCCGGGGCCTGATCCAGTGGACCACTGAGCCCATCGAGCACGCAGGTATGTTTTTTGTTGGAAAGAAGGACAAGTCCCTGAGACTCATCATTGACGCGAGGAGGAGGAACCGCTGGTTCAAAGCTCCTCCGCACACCGAGCTGATCACAAGCGAGGGGCTGTCCAGGATCGAGTGCGAGGCGGACTACAAGGAGGACCCCGACTGCATCTTCATGTTGGGCATCGGCGACGTCGAGAACTGCTTCCACCGGTTGCGGCTCCCCGACGGCATGCACCGGTGTTTCGCCCTCCATCCGATCGCGGCGAAGCACGCGCCTTTTGCGGGACAGCTTGGCGCGAGAGGCGCCGGTGTATCCCTGCTTGGCATCGTTCCCCATGGGATTTACGTGGTCGCTGTGGGTCGCTCAGAAGTGCAGCGAGGCAGTCCTCAACAAGGTGCGCCAGCTGGGGCCCGAGAGAAGGGCCTCCGACTACACCGCCCCCATCGTGCTGGGAAAGGGGGCAGACGTGAGGTACGCCCTGTATTTGGACAACCTGGACGTAGTCGGCAGCGCCGAGCGGCCTGTGGGTCTGGCGCTCAACAAGGGCTGCGCAGCCCTGGACGCCGTCGGCCTGAAGACGCACGAGCACGACCTGAAGGGCAATGGCGGCGAGACGCTGGGGCGCGCGCTGGACGGCCACCGGCTCGAGACGCAGGTGACCGAGAAACGGAGGTGGCGCATTGATGGCGCTTTTCGTTGGGCCCTTCGGCGGCGACGCCTCAGCGGCGAGCAGCTGGAGCGGCTCGTCGGGCACGCCACGTTCGTCAGCCTGCTGGACCGAACGGCCCTAAGCGTGTTCAACGCCTGCTACGCCTTCATCCACCGGTACGGCGACGCCGCGGCTGTGGCGTGGCCGACCGTGCGGCAGGAGCTCCAGGCCTTCATTGGGCTCCTGCCTCTGGCGCGGGCGCCGTGGGATCTACCTTGGTGTGAGACGGTAGTAGCCACAGATGCCTCCCTCGAGGGATGGGGGCACTGCCGTTGCTCGCTGACGGCCAAAGCAGTGGCTGGCATCGCTCGCACCTCAGAGGTGCCCCGATTTCGTCGTGTGCACAGCCTTGGAGCTCGCGAGGCAGCGAGCGCAGCACTGTATCCGTTAGACGAGGACAATGACAATCACCATCCGCTATCGTTCACCGACACCACCACCACCATCATCGACATCGGGGAGGCCTTGCCGTTGTCGACGGGGGAGGAGGTCTGGATGATCGACAGCCTGTTTCCGGAGGTGCCGTTCGGGGAAGGGGGTCTCTTCTCAGCCCGGGGCTGCATCGCCGAGTCCGATTTGATATCACCCTGGAGAGTTACTGGAAAGGGTAAGTGGAATTTTGGAGAACGCATTCTGGAGTTAGAAGCTCGAGCACTAGTTCTGGGTCTGGGGAGTCTGATCGCCGAAGGAGTTCGAAACAGTCGAAACCTATTCCTGATCGACAACATGGCTATCGCGCTCTCGTTCGCTCGGGGAAGATGTAAAAACTACGTTGTACTACGGCAAATTCGGCGCTTCCGCGCCCTGTGTCTTATCCATAACATTCGTCCGTATTTTCGCTGGATCAAATCAGAATTCAATCCAGCCGACGACCCATCGAGAGATGCCGATGGAAGCACGCCTCGGCCGCCGACCAGCGACCGCCCGGCGGCCTGCAGCCCCCAAGCGGCAAGCCCGCCTGTCCGCGCTGGCGACTTCGTGCCCGACGCGGCTCCGCCGGCCCCAGCTCTCGTCCGCGGTGAAGCCGCCGGCGGGAGTCAAGAGCAAGAGGCGGACGCTGGGCGTGGCAATGCCAGTGCTGCTGGACCGGGTGCAGGCGCCGAAGCTCGAGGGGCTGTCAGAGAAGGAGGCCTTCGCCGGGCCCCTGATCAGCGTCGGGCTCGAGGAGGCCGACGCCGGCCTGGACCGCGACGAGGCGGCGGGCGTGCAGGACAGCTCAGACAGCGACGACCTGGACGAAGCCCTGAGGGGTCGGTGCAAACGCAGACGCGCCAAGTACCTCCTCTCCGCTCGGCAGGCCATGGACCAGATGGGGGCGCTGCTGGAGTCCTACGCCGTGCAGACCAAGACCAGGGACTACTACCACCTCCTGGTCTCCCGGTTCTACTACTGGGCGAAGCAGCGGCGCCTTGGCCTTCGCCCGCCGTCCCAGCTGGATGGGACGTTGTGTATCCACATGACGGAGCTGTTCCTTACTGGCAAGCAGGCCAATGTGGGGGAGAAATTGCTGGCTGGTGTCCTTCACGCCCTCCCGGAGTTTGGGAAGGTTGGCCAGCTTTCGCCCCCACGATCGTGGAGAGCAGTGAAGGGCTGGCGCCGCCTGTGCCCTGGCCGGAGCCGCCGCCCGATGCCCTTCTGCGTCTGGGCGGCAGTCTGCCACTGGCTTCTGGCGCGTGGCAAGCGCTACGAGGCGGCGGCGATCCTGCTTTGCTCCATGTGTTACCTGAGGCCGTCCGAGATGCTGAACATCAGGCGCGGCCATTTCATAGGCCCCCTGGACGGGGTGTCCATGTACTGGTGCCTGCTGCTGGCTCCGGAGGAGTTGGGCCAGCCCACTAAGGTGGGGGTGCTCGACGACAGCCTCCAGCTCGACATGAAGTCGCTCAAGTGGCTCGACGTGGTCTGGAGGGAGATCAACTCAAGGCCAGCGGCGGAGCGGGCTTTCCCGTTCACCTACCAGGACCTGCTGGCCGACGTGAGGGCCGCTGGCGCGACCCTTGGGCTGAAGCTAGTGCCCTACCAACTCCGGCACAGCGGGGCCTCGCACGACCGGCTTCGCGACCTTCGCGGGCTGCCAGAAGTGATGAAGCGGGGCCGCTGGCGCAAGCTGAAGTCCGCGGCTCGGTGCGAGAAGCACGCGCGAGTGGGGCTGGAGTTCGGGAAGCTCGACGCTCTGACGCGCAGCCACTGCACGCGCTGCGAGTCACTGCTCGCGGATGCGTTCCTCGGAAGACGAGAGCCTCTAGCCTTCGGTCGCCAGCATGTGTAGAAGACTTATATTGCCGAGTGTTTTTCAGGCTGCGGGATAGTTAGCAAGAAAGTTCGTGTGGCTGGTTTCTGTGCTCGGGAGTGGGACCTACTCCACGGGCCTTCAGGTGACCTGTGTGATTCGAGAGTCCGCAGGC